ACCAAGAGCAAGAGGAGAACTTTGAGAGAGAGGTTAGGAACACACAAAATCGGCTATACTCTTGTTGTAACACATGTGTGAACGATTTTGGCTAAGGGGTTACATATATATAGTGTAGGATTCCAAGGGTCATTTGTAAACCCTAATCCATACACTTAGGCTTATGATCCAACAACTCATATTGACTAACTCTTCATGGACTCTTACATAAACTTATCCCATCATGGATCAATAGCCCAAACCATATGTATCACTGATTTACATAATCAGTCCCCGTTAATTTAATTAGTCTCTTTTGATCACTAAATTAATTCCAAATTAATTCTTGATCAATACTAATTAAATAACATGATTCCTCAATTAATATATTATACTTATAATATATTAATATCCTTCCTTTCAAATTGCTTCGGTGAATGCAACCTAAACTAGACCATGCTACTCTCAGGTCAAGTACATACCAATTATAGTTATGGGCTTAGACACCTAATCCAACAATTACTTGGTGGCTTTACATGCCCCAAACAAACCCAAACTCCAAAAATGGCATTCTACTTCCATGAAAGTGACCTTAACTCATGCATGAACCCATTAAGACCTTCAAGATGGTAACTTTCTGATTCTAGAACTCAAATAACACTTAGAGTGGCAACTCTAAGTTCCAAAAAATGACATGGACACAAGGGACATCATCCATGGGAACAAAGAGTCCATAAACCCAATCTTAAAAGAGATCTAAGAGAATAACCACCCAGTTCAGAACTTTATACCTTATATGAATGCCAAATGTTGATAAGGTTCTGGATCTATAAGCCTTTGCTCCTTTGATGATGCTTCAACAATGGCCATCTTCCTTTAAAACACCAAAATGCTCTTCTAATGGCCTTCTAAGCTCCAATAACACAAAAGAAAGGATTAAGGTTTCGTGGGTACTGTCTAAGGGTGAGAGGGAGGCTGGTCATAAGGTCATAATGTTCTTTATATAGTGCTCAACCCTAAAAATTAGGGTTTGGGGACTCTGAACGTACGATGGGCGTACGTCTCCCACACCCGCATCCACTTAACCCATCTACACTGGGCATACCCCAACTTACGTTGGGCGTACTCTCGTGCAGGCCACCTTGTATGCATGGGGTTTCCTTGCCACTTTTCTCCACCAGGGACCAATGATGCCAATAACTTCAAAGTGTCATAACTTCCTCATCCGAGGTCCGTTTCCAACGAACCTTATATCCACGAAATGGTGGCGAGAAGCCCTACGCTCCTAACAACACGCCCGATCCTTAAGACCTTCCGAATAAAACCCAAAACCCATAAAATACCGAATCATCGGATTACGATTATACCCTTGGCTCCCGAAGGCACAATCGAATACTTGGACCACATATGTCATGACACCCACATCCGAAATGGTCCAACTCCTTCCTTCCCAAGGCCCTAAGCCTCATGACCACTGATAACTGGGTCGAAACCCTAAGCAACAAGGCAAATCCGAAATCGAGTGTTACATTGTCTGGTTGTGGGCTTAGGGTAGGATCGATTATTCGACTGTCTATAGGATCCAGTGTTATGTATGGCTAACATACACGAGTGTTGTAAGGTTGGTGGAAGTTTCATGAGTGGGTGCAGTGTATAGCGGGTTAGCGCGAGGAATGATTAGCCACTATGGGGAGAGTGAGAGCAGGGCGAAGGTGCACCCGTGGTGTGGGGAGTTTGAGATCAAGGATTTTCGTATGAGGATCTGTCTGATTTTATTGCGTTTTAGTGCTAGTCGGTTTCTCTGCTCGAATGCTGCTTGCTTTATGCTTTGTAGGACCCATTTTTATGAACTTTTAAGGCTTAAGAACAACTTAATACATGTGAAGATCAACATGTTTTTAGTAGTTGATTCTTGCTTTGTGGATACTTCTAGAGAAGCTATTCGTTGAGTAGTTTGACGTCTTCATCAACTTTCAAACTCCCCTGAGAATTAAAGTCTTCAAAATGTTGTAGCTCTTTCTTTCTATGGTTATGTTAATCTTTCCATGCTTTGTAAACTGATCCTTGGTGGGTTAAAAAGAGTTTTAAGTGGATTCTATTTTTTAAAGTTTTCATTGCCGTTTTTAGCGTTTTTGTAAAAATGATTTTGAATAAAATCCAACAAAGTTCCAATGAAGCGTTATCAATGATAAATGCGGCAACTCTTGATACCTTTGGCGGAGACATATGTCGCCCGTTATACCTTTAAATTTTTTAGTGAAAACAAATATACTATTTAAATCTTAAAAATTAAACCCTACACCTAAATAATATAATATAATGAAATTTATTAAGAAATCTTGAAATGGAGATCATAAAAGTTTGATTTACCAAGGTAAAAGAATTTATTTATAGGATAACAAACTTTGAATTTTGTTCATATTTAGTCATTAGACTTTTTTCGTACTTGATTTACCCTTGAATAATTTGAAATTGTTCACATTCTACGGTTATAACAGGCCATAAAGGTAATATGTGAACAATTTCAAATAATTTAGGGTTAAATCAAACACGAAAAAAAGTTCAGTGACTAAATGTGAACAAAGATAAAGTTTGTTATCCTTTCAAGTCATTATCCATTTATTTATTTAGTGATTTTGTTCATTTGAAAAACTTGGAACTCGTTGGTTTTCAAAAAGTTAAGATGTGATCTCTTAAAGACGACGGATAATTACAACTTACGGTGTTTAATCAGATAAAACATCAACCTAAGTTTCATAATTTATATTGGTTTGATTGGTGTAAGTTTATTCTTATTGTACTTTATAATCAGCTAATATATTGTTAATATTAGTTCTGAGACCCATGTTTTACATGAGTTAATTTTAAAAAAATAGATATAAAAGTCTAAATATTTGAGAACTTTAAATTTATAAGAAAATAAGAAAAATAATGAATTATTAAAATTGAAATGTTTTTTTATATTTTAAATCTAAACAAATAATTAAAATAAATAAACAAAGGAAATTAATGAGCTTTAATTTAGAAATTTTGAAATTAGAAGGCAAGTCTATTAATGAAATTGATATCAATTTAAACTATATTTATTGTAATTATTATATTAAAATATTATATGAAATTTAATAAAATAAAAAACCATACAATGACATCTGAAAAAAAAATTAACTTAAAATAACAAAAAAATGACATTTTACAAATTAAATGAGAATGTGACATGTCGTAAAAAAACATTCATTTATTAAAATAGATTTGTTTTTAAGGTCGTTAAAAAATAAATAAAAATTGAAAGTGGTATCAACTTTACAATAAAATTAATCTCAAGAAATGATAAAAGACAAAGACAAAACTGCACAAATGGTCCCTGTGGTATGTCGAAAATTGCCACTTTGGTCCAAAAAGGTTTGGACTAGCACCACAGGTCCAAAGTTTTCATTTTATTGCGAGTTTGGTCCAATCTGTTTTGAATTTTTATAAAATGACGATTTTGCCCTTTGTATTTTTATTTTTTATTTATTTTTTAAATTACAAAAACTAAAAAAGGAAAAAAAAAATCTATTTGTATTATCACCCCACCCCATATTTTTCTCTCTCCCATTCAGAAAAAGGAAACACCACCAGATTCCGGTGGCTGCCGGAGCACCGTCGTCCGACCACTAAAACCACCGCCGACGTCGGAACCCTAGAACTATCCGGCGCTGACTTCACCGGAGAAAAAAAACTGAGATCTGAACCTCCAGAGACCATCATTCTTCTTTCTTTCTGCTGCTACGATGACCATCTCTCTCTCTTTCTCTCCCTTCTACTGTTATGAACCGCCTGTCGGACCATCCAAATCACTACCGATGACGAAGATCTGAACATCTCGCTGCCACGACGAAGATCTGGATCTGCTGGTTGTTCGACAAGAAAAAGAGAGAGAAAGAGGGTGAAAACAGATCTGAAAACTTAGGGTTTCGTAAAACTAGAAGGGGTGGCGGCGCTAGGGCTTTTGCTATGTAGACACCTCGTCGGAGAAGAAGAGAGACGAGCGGTTTGATGGTTCCGACGTCTGAAACTAGAGTTTTATCGAGCCACAGACATCATCGTCATCGCCGATGACGAACAGATCGAAGGCGTCGTCAGATGAGAAGATAAAAGACAAAGGCGATGATGGTTCCGACGAAAAGCAAATAGAAAGAGGGAGAGATTGAGTCCGGTTTCCGACAGATCTACGTCGTCCTTAGGAGGGTTTCTTGTTCGCCGGAAAAACGATATCTCAGATTTTGCAATTGATTTCTCGATTTCTGGCAAACCCGACTCAGTTCATCTATCTTCTCAGTTCGTCCTTCGCCCTTCGCCCCTTTCTCAGATCTATGGCACCAGAAACCCTAGCCTCAAACATCGAAACCTGCTTCGTCGGAAGCCTCCATCGCCGGTGGTGGTGGCTGGTGGTGAAGGAGATGGGCAACTTTTTGTGTGAAACGAGAGAGAGAGAGAGAGAGAGAGAGAGAGAGAGAGAGAGAGTTTGCATTTTATTTTCTTTTTTCTGTTATAAAAAATTATAAAAATAAAATAAAAAACGAAAATTTTCTTTTTTATTTTTCTTTTAATCAGAAAAAATCTTTAAATAATAAAAAAACCGAAAAAGGAAAAAGCAAGGGCAAATTCGTCATTATGAAAAAGTTCATAGCAAATTGGACCAAACTCGCAACAAAATGAAAAGTTTGGACCTCTGGTGCTAGTCCAAATATTTTTGGAACAAAGTGACAATTTTGAGCAAACCACAAGGACCATTTGTGCAGTTTAGTCAAAAACAAATGATAAAAGTTAACCTATATTTAACTATTTATAATAAGCCTTTTCGGAAAAAATGCAATTTCAGACGATAAATATATTTAAAAAATTAATAAGGGTATTTATATTGTAAAATGGGATTTTGATTACATTTGCTGCCAATTTAACGTGGTCATACCAATTTTGAGGATTTTGGGGTATTTTTATATTTTCTCTTAAACATTTAAGTCGATTGATTCGAATATTTGTAATTATTACCCACTCATAAGTCACAAGGGGTTAACAGTGAAGTTGAGAATGCTCTGATAAATCCCACAGAATCCCCAATTCAGATTTCCACGATCCAAACAGTTTTTGACAAGATTTGAAATAGTCAAAATACGCAAGTATCTCTAGATCTGCTGCAGAAGAAGATGGTTTGGGGCTGCTAATCAGGTTTCGGATTTTCTAGAGCAGGGGAGACTGGGACTAATCGTCTACTTGGTTAACTCAATAGTTTCTCTACACTTTTAATCTACTAGAAGAACTAGGACAATGAGATGAGATGGAATTTCGAGTCTTGAAGGAAACATGATAACGAGTAATGGGTCATTGGATCTCTAAGACGATCAAGTAATGTGTCATTACAATCTCCATTAACAACAGAATTTGATCAATCAACGCCACCGGTTAATTACAGGAAGACCTCAAATTATGTTTATCGGTAAAGAGAAGGATGAGATGTTCATGTGGATCTTCAAATTCGCAGCTCGAAAGAAGCTTGGAATGCTGCTCCTGTGTTTTGTTTCAATAGCAGTCGTCTTGTGGATACTTTATGTCGGCAAGGGTTTGTTCTTCGTTTCTCTAAAATCAATCAATTATAGCTCTTACACATTTGACTTTTGAGTGTTAAACCAGTTGAATTTCTGTGGAAATTATTCTATTCCTTTTGAAATAGTATCGACTTAGATCTATAAACAAAGGTATTAAATAACGAAATCTATTTCCGAATTCTGGATTTGGAAAGTGTTAGGTTTTTGGAACTTAAATTTATCCTCTTCAAAACTATGCCAAAACTCGCTTATTAAATGTGAATATGTAATGAGACAATATCAATCTACTTGGCTTCATAAGCAAAGCACTATTGTTATCATGAGTATCGAATTCAACCATTAAATGCTGCTATACTTTTGAATTAGTTTTTATAGTATAAACAAATTGTGCCCTAAAATGAATATTCTTCATTCTTTTGGTTGTTTTCAGGTGAGGTTACACAAGAATTTGGCTCTGTGAGGAGCTTAGGGTTCATAAACATTTCAACTGTAGGATTTTCTGGACATTCTTCACCTAATGATGAAATAAAGATTACCATTTATAATGATAAAAAAATTACAAGTCAATCTCCTCCACCTCCTATTTATAATACCGGATATACCCTTCTTCCTGGGAACCCTTGTGAGACCTTTACATTGCCTCCACCACCAGCTGATAAAAAAAGAATTGGGCCACGTCGTAAGTTCATATATTTTTATTTTCTTTTATAATTTTAAATCCCTTAAAATATTCATCCACTTGTGTTTGACACTTTTCTTTCTGTTTTGACACTTTTCTATGTTACAGCATGTCCTGTGTGTTATCTTCCTGTGGAAGAAGCAATTAATTTGATGCCAAAAGCTCCTTCATTTTCTCCTATTCTCCAAAATCTGACTTACATTCATGAAGAGAATTCAACTAAAAGTGAGTTTGGAGGCTCGATTTTTGGTGGGTATCCTTCTTTGAAGCAGAGGCTTGAATCTTATGATGTTAAAGAGTCAATGAAGATTCATTGTGGGTATGTTTGTTATCTCTAGAATCCATGATCATTTAACGAATTAGAGGGTGTTTGGTTTGTAGAATGTTTTTGGAAGGAATGGAATTTGACAAAGGAATTGGAATATGAAGGAATTATTATCTTCCATGTGTTTGGTTGACATGAAATGAAATGGAATTCAATTGTACAACTAAAAACTAAATAATCTTTACAGTTTTATTTAGGGTTAATCTCATAAATGACCTTATATTTTGTGTTTTTTTCTGGATTAAACCGCATATTTATTTATTTAATGAAAAAGACCTTGCATTTTTTCATTTTTTCCGATCCAGCCCTTTTAGTCATTTTTCTCTAAAAAAATTGTAACCTGTGAGGGTTTTTTTTAGAAAAACTAAAAAAGTTAAGGAATTATTTGGAAACATTTAGAAAGTTGAGGGTTTTTTTTGGAAAAAAAGACAAAGTTGAGGTTTTTTTTCGAAAAAACTGAAAAAATATAAGGTCTTTTTCAAGAAAAAAAAATAAAGACGAGGTTTAATCCGGAAAACACAAAATATAAGGTTTTTTAAGTTTAACGAGATTAACCCTTTTATTTATATCTAAATATTTATTGTTTATTATAGATATAAACAATTAAAATTTTCATGTATTTTGGTTTTTTAATAAAGAAAGGAAGAGTGAAATTGTATTCCTTCCACCTTCCCTTAGGAATAAGAAAATCCATAAACAATGGAATTGTATTCCTTCCAGTTCCTTTGTGAACCAAACCTTCCATGGAATGGAATCTTGAATTCCAATTCTATCGAATTCCTCAAACCAAATTACACACAGATTTTTTAAATCCATCACTGATTCTCTTGTGATTAAAGATTTGTCAAAGGAGATAAACCAGGACACAACACAGGATTTGACATCAATGATTCAGATCTTTTTGAAATGAATCAATGTCAAGGAGTTCTTGTTGCATCTGCAATATTTGGTATCTTTATATACAAATCTTCTTTACATATTTCTACTTTTCACCAAAAGACGAGAACGCCCTTCTGAAGTTTTAAACTCATGGATGATTTAATAATCTTGGCAGGAGCATATGATTTGATTCAACAACCAAAGAACATTAGTGAAGCTTCAAAGAAAAACGTTTGCTTTTTCATGTTTATCGATGAACAAACACAAAAATTTCTTAAAAATTCAAGTGATTTAGATGATAACAACAAGAAGATAGGGTTATGGAAAATCATTGTTGTCCATAATCTACCATATACAGACCCCAGACGTAATGGAAAGGTAATAAAAAAAAGAGTAAATTACACGAATGGTTCCTATGGTTTGGGGTAATTTGCGCGTTTGGTCCCTAACTTATTTTTTTAACTCAGAAGGTCCCTACGCGCAAATTACCCTAAACCATAGGGACCATTCGTGTAATTTACTCTAAAAAAAAACATTTAACATTTTCCATTTTGTGGGTCCCATCTCTATGATGTATGTATGATGTATGTATGATGTATGAATGGCAGATTCCAAAGCTTCTACTACATAGGCTTTTCCCAAATGTTAGGTATTCTTTATGGGTGGATGCAAAACTTGAGCTTGTTGTGGATCCTTATCAAATTCTTGAAAGGTTTTATTCTTGAATCTTGTGTCACTTAATAGAAATCTTTTTTATATGACAAATATTTAACTTTTTTTTATTATTTTATTTCATAAAATTCAGGTTTTTGTGGAGGAAAAATACGAGTTTTGCAATATCTAGACATTATAAACGGTTTGATGTGTTTGTAGAAGCTGAAGCTAATAAAGCAGCTGCAAAATATGACAACGCCTCCATTGACTTTCAAATTGACTTTTATAAAAGTGAGGGTTTGACCCCATATTCTGAGTCAAAGCTTCCGATTACAAGTGGTATAACGTTTTCTCCAATTGGATTTTTTTTTCTAATAAAAAAATGACCTAATAATAAAAAAATAAAATTTTCAGATGTTCCTGAAGGATGTGTGGTAATACGAGAGCATATTCCAATCTCAAATCTTTTCACGTGTTTATGGTTTAATGAAGTTGATCGATTCACTTCAAGAGATCAAATTAGTTTTTCCACTGTAAGAGACAAAATCATGTTCAACACAAATTGGACTCTTTATATGTTCTTGGATTGTGAAAGGCGAAACTTTGTTGTTCAGGTAACAATTTTTTATTTTTTTATTTAAAAAAAAAAAAAATCATAGCATCATATTTTAATTTTTCATTTATGTATAATGACCATGTGAAGGGATACCACCGAGACATTTTGGAACATTGGGCACCACCACCCCCTCCAACTTTTCAACTTGCTGTTTCTAGTCCCTCACCTTCCCCCATCCCCTTTGATGAAACACCCAAACAAATTGTTACTAGACACCGTAGAGATAGAAAATCAAGTCGACGTCACCGTAAAATTGATATAAAAAGTCAAAGTCAAAATCAAAGTCAAAGTCAAAGCTAAATTCATATAGAGAACAAAGGCAAATTTTTTCGTTTGTTATCGGAATACAAATCATTGTTGGGCCCGCAAAAATCCTTGGAAGAGGAATGTTGTTCAAACAAGGTACATATCTTGTTATGTACATATTGTATAAGGGAAAAAAAAATACAGAAAAACACTTGTACTTTCATTATTTTGTAGATTTATTTAGTTACTTGACTATTTTCTGTAGTGATTAAATCATTGTACTTCTTATTTTTCACGGTTACTTGAGGTAAGTTACAAAAAAAAAAAAAACTACAACATACTTTCACCATTTTGTGGATTTAGCCACTCAAGTTTTACTTTTTTTTATTGGTTTAGCTATTGAGTTATTATTATAATGGTAAATTATAAATTTGGTCCCTATGTTTTACCAAAACTTGCAAGTTCAGTCCAAATTTCTAGATCGTCCTAGTGTTGTCCCTGGGTGTGCATTTTGTTACGGTTATGGTCCTTGCCCCATATAAAATAACATCAAAAATTTGGACTAAACTTGCAATTTTGGACAAATCCGCAATGAAATACAAACGTAAGAACGAAATCGGGACAATTTCAAAATTTTGACTAAACTTGCAATTTTGTGTAAAGCATGGGGACCAAATTTGTAAATGGGAAAATTGGTTTGTTTAAATGGTCAAAAAACTTTAGTTTACCCTGTTACATATATATATATATATATATATATATATATATATATATAGTGTAATTTTTATTTTCTTCCCCTATGTATATATTTATTAGTCGCACATTATTTTTGTTGTATATAATTATATATGCTACTAAACAGTTGAACTACTTTAATTCTTACTTATATCATAATGTCCACAGAGAAAGAAGGTGAACACGCTTGAGCATGCAAGGGTGTGCTTGTTTGAGTTGTAAGTTGTGTAATGGTCATGGGGCTTGAGCTAAATGCTTTATGGCCGTGTGGACCCCACACGTGCTAAAATGGCAATATGGACTTTTTGGGAGATGGTGTTACATAAAGTGTGATGCATAGTTAAAAGATAGTGTTAAGAAATTTTGTTACAAAAATGTTAATGTTAGGATCAAACTTTAGATTTGATGATGTTTAGAAATCATATACGTAAGCTGCCAAGTGTTGTATAAATAAATAATGTTTTTTTGGACTAAATTAACATATAGTAGAACCTCTATAATTTAATACTCGATAAACTAATAACTTCGATAAAATTAATATTTTGTCCCGGTTCCAACTTCGGACCAGTATAAAATTAGACCCCAATCGATAAAATAATAAAATAATAATTTTTTTAAAATCCCAATGTAAATATATTGTTCCTATCGAAACTATAAATTAATAATTACTAAAATATTTCAAAATTCTAGAATTGTCTGGTGAAAAATGAATCTATACATTCAAATCTATATTGAGTTCATCTTTAAATCTCCCAATTACACTTAAGAGTTAAGACACTGTATTCTCGTATTACAATAAAAAGTTGTGAAGAGTTGTTGCCACTTGCAATGCTTCTTTGCGAACGACCGGTTCCAAAGGTACTGAATCATCATCAACTTCATCATCTACCGAATTTTGAACGGTATCCACGATAATTTCTTCAATGCTTTGAACCTCGTAACATTCATTATTTTCACCTGATAATCCAACAACTCATTCACATCCGTTAATGTGTGAATGTACATGAGAATTTTTAAGGTCATTGTTTCTATTTTATTCAAACTAGTAAAGAATCGGCAAACTTTAAAAGATATGTGCTGAAATTGTAAATCACAATAAATAGGGAAGAAAGTCGACAACTCCTAAAATTAGATGTCAAAAGTGTACAACGAAAAAAAGGGACACTGGTGGAGAAAATCCAAAATGTTGTGGCAATGATATTAAAGTTGTTAACGTTGGGAAAATATGTTGGCAAAATTTTAAAGGATGTTTTTTTGTGTTTTTTATGTCAAAATGTAAAACTTTTGACTACAAGGACAAAAAGTGTCAAATTCATTAAAGAATTGTGGCAAAAACACCAAAATGTAATACCTTTGAATATAAGGACTAAAAGTGTCAAAGTCATTAAAGATTTGTGGCAAAAACCTTAAGGCACAAAAACTTAATCAAAAGGCAAAAATGTAAAATTTTTGACTTTAGGGACTAAAAGTGTCAAGTTCAGCAAACTTTTGTGGCAAAATCCTAAAGACTAAAAGAATACTATTCCTAAGCTCCTTTGGATTTAATATATATATATATATATATATATATATATATAATATAATAGGTAATAACATTCATTATTTTCACTTCATAATCCAACAACTCATTCACATCCGTTAATGTGTGAATGTACATGAGAATTTTGAAGGTCATTGTTTATATTTTATTCAAATAGGTAAAATGAACGGACATGAAAATTTTGAAGGTCGATGCATTAATTTGAGAGTTGCTCACGAATATAAGCCAACTTTTTAAATTAATAATTTATTAATTTATTAATATAATAATATCTTGCTAAATTAATAAAATATCTCAGTCCCAACATTATTAATTTATAGAAGCTTTACTGTAATAGATAATACGATCATCATAAAATTTTAAGACATTCCTGCCTAGTTTTACAAGATTCACTAGTCGATGATTGGTAGACGTTTTGGCTGATTTTGGAATCAGTCTACTAGTCAAGTGTATCCAACTCACTAGCTATGACTAAATTACATGGTGCTCATAAAAAAGAAAAAAGAACATGGAAACCCAAAGAAAAACGAAAAAAATGTATGCGCATGTAGCTAGTTAGCTTTTTAATGGCAAATCACAGAAGAAGGAAAAAAAAAATCTAAAATTTAGTTTCTACGTAAAACTCATGTAAGTGACAAAAAAAGAAAAAAAAAAAAAAAAAATTTCAACATGAATATAGAAAATTGAGTGTGCATAAAATTTGTCTAAATCACGAAAAATCCACATATATCACCAACACAATCATTGTTTTCAACAAAACTGAATTATTATTTTGGATTGATTTTGATTTATAAAAGAAGAAACGAATTGTAAAAAAAAAAACAAATAACAATTTATTATTTATTTAGTTTTAATATATATCTATAATTTTTTCAACAACATTCAAAAAAACTCACCTAAAAACCTTAATATGCATTTTCTTTCAAAAATTTTATCTATAAAATATTAAACTATAATATATTTTTAGTAGTTTGTCTATAAATTTTAGACAAAATTGCAAAAATGGTCCTTATAGTATGTATTTTTTTAGGGTTTTAGTCCAAACCACGATTTTTTTGGATTGATAGTCATTTTAAACTAGTTTCGTTGGGTTTTTAGTCTCTCGGTAAACTGAAATGACTTTACTACCCTTAGGTATTTATTTTCTATTTTAAATTCATTTTTTTAAAGTTAATAATTATTTATTCATTTTAATTATTAAAACAAATAAGAGGGCATCTATCTCTCTCTCATCATCACCTTCGTCTCACCCTCCCCCACAATTCACCTCACTTGCAGATGAACAACCGAGAAACACCCACCATCACAAATACACACACGAGCAAAAAAAATACATCGACGTGCTTATCTTGTTTCCATCCACTGGAATTTCTAGAAGCCTAGACAAGAATGAACCAACTGACAGAGGAATTGGACCGAAGACTAAGCTAGACATAAGGTCGAGCACCTGGAGTGCAAGAAGATTTTGTCCTAACCAGGTATTCACCATGGAAGAGAAAATCGTAAAGATTTAAAGGTAGCCAATTGAGTACATCTCACCAAAGAATCAATAGAAAAACATGGGAAATACGTCCAACAGGAATTCGTTGCAAACCAAAGAAATTTATTGTGGTGCCCCATTTTGTTGATATACTAAAAGATTTCAACAAATTTTACTCAAGTGAAACCTGTTTACAACAACTGAATCTTTTTATATGTAGGTATTGATAAAAATGAATGGTTTTTGATGTGGGTGTTTTTGATTGTTGATTTCACGAGGTACAAAAGCCTAAGGAGGTGATAAGCCTGATTGAGAAACAAAACCGTAACCGAATCCTCCCTTGTTGATCATTAGTGACTAAGCTTTTGCCGGCAACGAAAGATTAAAGGACTAAGGATGGAAGTGAGATGAGATAGTGTATAAGAGAGGAAGACGCAAAATATATTTGGGGTTTTCTTTATTTTTGAGTCGTAGTAGCGAGGAAGAAGATGATGTGGGTGATTGTTTGGTCGAAACTTATTAATCTATTTCGTTTGAACTGGATTTCATTTGAAGCACAATGGTAAAAAGAAAATGGTGAACAAGACATAGGGATCGTTTTTTGCAGGGGTCACAACTCACAAATCAGGTATGAGAGAGAGAGAGAGAGAGAGAGGTCAAATTTAATTATTTATTTTCTTTTTCATTTAAATTAAATAGAAAAAACATAAAACAAAATATCAGAAGGGTATTATAGTCATTTCAGATTACCGAGGGACCAAAAACGCAACGAAACTAGTTCGAAAGGACCATGAAACCAAAAAAGTCGTGGTTTGTACTAAAACCCCAAAAAAATGCATACCACAGAGACCATTTTTGCAATTTTGTCAAAATTTTAAACCACAACCAAATAGTTTCTTGTTTTTTCTTCTATAAAAGTTGACTAATATTCTAATTATATATGGTTTTAAAATGTTCCGTTTTTTGAATATCGATTTATAAAAATCGATCCAACCAAATTGCAATTTGGTTGGATTGGATCAGATTTGAATCTAATTTGGATTATTCGGATTCATGTTTTGAAAACCAAAATCAATTTAGATTTACTTGATTGGATCGGATCGAACCGATCAATCCAAACGACCACGAATAAGCACCCAAGGTCCAAGGAAATCAAAGCACATCATTTTTTTTCTTATATAAGTGTTTTCGAGTGTTAATAAGCAATCCAAGCCTAAACCCAAACTACTAAATCCTTAGTTCCAATTTCATCTTTTAACCTCAAACAACAGCCTATTCAAGACCTGTTTTATTCCCCTTAAATCCCTCCAATAGAGAATATTATTCCATATCCATAAATTTCATCTCAATGCTTTTCCAGGGATATGGTACACTAAGCCTAATTATTTTCTTTGATTTGCTATGAATTTCACAAAACAACATATCAATGCAGCTAAATCTGGAACAATAAGTGAGAATGAAAATTTTCACCTTAGTTAGGGTGATCAACAGGTCAAGGAAAAAATCACGAAACTACTACACTCAAAACCTAAAGTATGGGCACTGGTTTTTCTCAAATCCTACATCATATGATTCTTCCATAATTTTTGCAAAATCAGGACAAATTGGGAGAAAATGGATAAATCATAGCTTTGTCTTTTTGGGTTAGCCTAGCATCTAAACCCATTAAGACATCAATTAAGGACTCCAAAAGCTGGAAAATGACTTCTTAACAGTAACAATATTGTCTTGTCTAAAGTGGAAATTCAAAATACAGTGCTTTAATGATAATTCATGGGTTTAGGGTTTTAAGTTTCCATTCTACCAATACCCACACAATACCAAGTACCAAATATGAAGTTGGAAATCATTACCAACCACTGCCATCGTGGAAGTGGTGGTGGTGGTGATTTTGACTAAGAAAAGAGGAGGAAAACAAGGAAAAACAAAAAAAAAAAATAAGATACCTCCAATGAAGAATCTGATCCAAATCAACCCTAAGTCGAGCCTCCTTCACCCACACTACTCTTTTCTGTCAACTGGAGGAGGAAACGATGTCGGCGGTGCTGTAGGAAATTCGAGGAGCGTCGGCTTAAGGTGGCAACAAGAATGACGATGCAAAAGAGAAAAGAGAGGGATAGGTTTAGCGCTTTGTAACATCTGAATCCTTGAGTTATGAATTTTTAAAGTAATTTATGAGTTTTGGATGGCAACGACATGGTGGAGGTATCACCACGACATGGCAAGGCCCTTCATGAGACACGTATCTCATTTAAATGTCATGACATGATACTATATTGACCATGACGTGGCATCTGGGTATGGTAAAACCCTAATTTTCTGGGTTTAGGCCATACTTAAAGGAAGTGATGGCTAGGGTTTCCTCCACCCTTAGCCTTTATTACCTAAATGAACCCTTGAGCAAACCCTAGCCTTCGTGAATCTTTTCGAGCTTATTTGGCAAGTTTTGAT